CCATCAGACTCCCTGCCGAGCATGGAGCGCCACAGAGACACAGCCCATCCCAGGACCCATAACATCACGACCTGAGCCGAAACCCAGAGTTGGACATTCAACTGACTGAACCACCCAGGTGCCCCATGGTTTAGGTTTCTTAAAGGGTCATTCTAGCCGGGACAGGGAGAAGGAACCAGCGAGGGCAGATGCTGCTCTAGGGCTGACCCAACAGCAAATCCCACTTTTTTCTGGACACCGTCTTCTCTAGAAGCTCGAGTTAAATTTCCCTTTGCCCGTCTCCGGAGCACTTGGGTGGACCACAGGACCCTGGTCTGGCCTGTGAGACGTGGGTGGAAAGGACATTCAGGGAAACTTTGCTTTCCTGACAAGAAGGGACGGGCTCAGCTGGTGTGGCTCTGCTGTCTTCTCCCTGCTGGAGAACAGAAGCAGCCCCTCGCAACAGTGGGGCCACAGGCTAAAGCCGGCCAAGTGGAAGGGACGGAAGCCTGGTCTGGGGCCTGTGGACACCACTGAACCTTTGAGTCTTGCCTACAGCCGGACATTCTATTGGGAGAGAAAAATAAGCCTCCATCTGCACCAGCCGCTATGAACTGGGTTTTCTGCTGCGTGCAGGGCGGGCTCTCAGCTGACAGTGGGCAGGGGTACCCCAGGCCCGCTGAGCCCTGAGTGAGGAGGGGCCGTGGTGAGAGGTGGTGGCGGCTGGGACGACAGGTCTTTCCACTTGTAGTCAGCTCCCTCTAGTTTGTCTTCCACACTCTGGCACTTTCTAAATGCAAATCTCTTCATGAACTCCTCTTGGCTTAAAATGTTTTGCTGGCTCTCCATTGCCTACATGATAAAGATCAGCCTCCTGTGCCTCGAGTGCGATGCTCCTTGTGATGGGTCCCAGCTTCCTGTCTGGTCTCTTATCCCTACATCGCACCCACCTCCAGTCAGACCCCCTTGTGACCACTGCCCACGTGCCAGGCACTGTCCCTTCCTTATTCCCAACCCAGCAGCCCTAAGTGCTGCTAATTACACGTCTTGGTTTATAGATGAGAAACCTAACCTCAAGAAAGTTAAGTGGCTTGGCCAAGGCCACACATCTCGTAAGTGGTGGGTCGGGATTAAACTCTGGTGTGCTTTCAAAACAAATTAGAGATGTATTTTTCTCACTTGTCAAGAAGTCTGAAGGCAAGTATTTGCTGGGTTGTTCAAGTGCTCAAAGATGCCACCAGGACCTCGGTCTTCTGATCTTTGCTCTCTGCCACTTTGGAGAACTGGCTCGGGCACCCTCCTACTTGTCGCTTCACGGCTTTACCATGGCCACTCGGCTCTAGACATCACATTCAGGCTCAAAACAGTAAGAAATGTGGGAAAAAGGAAGGCTACACCGACTTTAATCTGTCATCGCGCGCGCCCCCCCCCCCCCCGCCATTCTTGTTAAGAAAGCCAAAGCTTTCCTAGAAACCCGCAGCACACTTTTACCCTCACTGCCCCTCACTGCAAGGCAGGCTGGGAAACCAGGGACCGTGGTTACTGTGGTTGGCTTAGTATAAATACCATCTACCACTTGGGGCTGAGTCCACGGCTGCCCTCAACAAAGCTGGTGTTCAGTCAGCAAGGAAGAAAGAGGTAAGGAGGATGAGCAGGTGACACACAGGGTCTGCTACCACCACCGTGCTCAGCAAAATGGAGGCGCCTGCGGTAGCCTGGCTCCCCCAGGCCACTCTCCACATCTTCCTGGCAGATCCTTTCCCACCTATCATCACATGCCAGTTTCCCTGAGGCCTCCCTCACTCCTGCAAGTAGACCGGGGATTCTTTCTTCCTCCTTCTCTATATGTACCTACATCCATCACAGCTGTGTGACTTTATAGTCTTTATAGCGGCTGATATAACATGATTGCTCACTCAGTTACACAAGCATTCATTCTCTCCACAGATGCTTACTGAGCACTTACTATACGCCACACACAGGGCCAGCAGTCAGGAATACAATGGTGAACAAGTCCGGTTTTTAGATTTGGTCCCTGCTCTGATGGCGCTTTCAGTCTACAAGGTGAGCTATCCGGACAGTTCAAGTTTGGGGAGCAAAGCTACACATCTCCTCCCAGACTATCAAGCACCACGTGGCAGGATGACCTCCCTCCCCACCTTACTCTCTGACCCTGGCACTCGATGTCACACAGAACAGATGCACTAGGACCACATGCCAAATGCATTCTTTCCTTGGCTTTGAAATATATATTCTAATCGAAATGCATTTCTTTTTTCTGCCAGGAAACCCCCCAAGAGTGAACCAGTGTCCTCCTGCGGTATCACATCATACACCCAAACATCTGAAAAACACTTTGCCCTCTCCCCACCTTATTGCAGGCCTCTCTTCCCAGGAAAGCTTTCAAGAGAGTCTAATTTAACACTTTATATCAGAGGTCCTTAGTACATGTGAGTTTTCTGCTGAAGGCTTCGTCTGGGTTTTCTAAGCAGGGGTACCTCACTGTCAGGGCCGTGGCCGCTGAAGTGTGATTCTGAAAGCACTTGAAAGAACTCTTAGGGTTCCTGCTGCAGAGCTTCTTATGCATCGCTTTTCTAGTCCTCTCCATGCCCGGCTTTGTTGCCCTTCCGCCATGGAGGGGCTGGTAGCCAGGAACACGACGGACAGAGACAAGGGAAAGAGAGAAAAGGCAGCCCCTGCTTTGGGCTAGGCCTCTGTTGCCATAGTGGCATGGACCCGAGACACCCAGGTGAGAGGCCCTTCATACAGTGGGTTGTGGGTTGTGGAGGCCAGAGAGGTGGGGCATAAACATGGAAGACATCCATGCCTTCCGGGCCTGGAAAGGATGTCAAAAGGCCAACTGACCCCCTCCCCTGCCTGTTAGCTGAAAACCAAATGGATGGGCGGCTTACTGCTAAAAACCCTCAAGAACAAAGTCCACCACCTCTGAGTCACCTGTTATTCTTATTTCACAAGATGCAGGACCCTGAATGGGTTTTCTTTGTCCAATCTCATTTTCTCGCTGTCCTTCCAGCCCCGTTATTATTGCTGGTAGAGAAAAGTTAAACCACCACTGGTACACGCCATACGGTAACCCGGGAGGGAAGACTGGGGCGAGGGGGAGCCGTGCTAAAGCATGGACTTGGCTTGAGGGCCATCTCGATCAGCTGTGGTCCTCACAGGGTCCCCACCCCTGTTCTTTTGTCCAGCCTTGGCTCTGGGAGCAAGCAGCCTGGAGGGGCAGGGAGGACACAGTGTGAGTCACATGTGGGAGCAGCCCGCCCACCTAGCTGAGGCCCACGGGCTGCCACAGAGACAGCCCTGCTGCCTAGCAGGTCAAAGGGGTGTGGGGGGCAACAGCCCTCCCTGCAGGGTGGCTTCCTCCTTTGGAGTGAAACACAGCAGAGAGAGTGGAAAGGTCTGCTTTTAATGAATAGCTTTAAAAGCCTTTGCAACAGCGGACATGGCCCAAGGCAGCTTGGAACCCCACCCTGAGGGCAACAGGGCTCCCCTGCTTCCAGGTGACCCTGCAAAATACAAATGGCGCTGTGACATCAGGTACATGGCTTTTTCCCACCTCACATGAAAAAAATCCCAACCTGCAAAATCCTTTCAGAAATCATCCTGCCTGAAAAATGGGAGATGGCCCTCATGGCAGAACCTGGTTTGAAGAGGACGGGGAGCAGGAAAGTCCCTCGTCCAAGATGCCACGAGGGAAACTGTTCCCGCCCCTTCCAGAAGCAACAGGAACCCCCTCTGCTCCCAGCACTGGGGACAGAAGGAAAAGGCCATCTGCAGGAGCACTCGATATTTTGCAGACTGACAGCGGGGTCTGGATACTAGCAGGTCCCACCCCCCGTCTCCCCGCCACTCTTCACTCCCACACGATTCCGCTTCCACTCTCCGACTCTGTTTCACTAGGCTCAGGAGACAGATGTCTCTTCCTGCCATGGACATGCCAGACAAACCCGGGGCCGCTCTTCACAGCCCCTAATTCCCCAAAATAGTGTCAAGAAAACGAAACACTTTTGCATGGAACTTCTCTGCAGCTTCTCCCTTTGGTTTCTTTCACACCGTGGGCCAGGGAGCTGGTGCTTATTTTGACAAGAGTAAAGAAGCCTCTGTCTGTAAGTGAGGTTAACACCCACCCTGAGGCTGGATTCTTTCTGGTCTCTCTCAACAGCTGAGCATCATGATTCTGCTAATTAAGCCGCTTTCTTCTCCTTAATTAGCTGCATGTGAATCTTGTTGGGAAGTCTTGGATCCGTGAAATAGTCTGGGATAAGAATCGAAAAGAAGAAATTATCTAAACCCAAGGGGAAGAGGCGGGGAGGGAGGCCGCTTACTCCGCTCAAAAGCGAGGATGGCTCGGCCTCAGCAGGGCTGTTCCTGGCAGCCCTGCCTTCTGACGTCATAGAAGCCACAGCAGATCCCGTGGTCACCGTCCCCGCCCAGAGTGCTGAGCCCGCCAGCTCCCGTGCCCCCAGAAGGGGCTGACACAGGATGGCTCCTGACCCTTCCACACTGCCCTGCGGGTCATCAGCTTGCTGACGCATGGGGAGCCATCAGAGGGCTGAGGGATCTCTGGGTTTTCTGCTCCCAGCCCATCCCGAGGCCCAAATAAATGCCAAGTGTTATTCTTGTCTCAGCTCAGCTTGCCAGCTCGTCTCTGAGATATCACGCCCTCTCCTCTCTGAGAATATCCTCTCAGAGGAGAGCCAGGCTCTCACACGATGACGACAGAGGAGGGTTTTTATACACCCAGCATAACGTGAATCAGAGGCAGCATCTGCTGCGGCGGCAAAGACGCACTAGACTCCGTTAGAAACCGTGTGAGGCCATCAAACTCCCTGGGCTAACAGGCGCCCAGGAAGCCTGCCCCACCCCGCGCCCTTCCCTCTAAATACCGTTGACCTCAAGCCAGCTGGGGCAGTGGAGCCCATTAGGATCACCGGGGGACCTTTACAACCCTGAGGCGGGGCCCCACCTTGGGCTAATTAAATATCAACCTCTGGGGGTGGGCCCGGGCCTCAGCATTTCTTAAAAGCTCCCCAGGTGATTCTAATGTGCAGCCAGGGTGGAGGACCCCGCTTTAGGATTCCCAGGGGAAGAGCTGCCAGTATGTTCCTTTGGGAGTGTCAAAATTCTTAATCTTCACCACAAGGAAGCTCTGCCTCATTTCTTATCTGTCCTCATTTTGAGGAAATGACAATGGATGAAAGAGCCTTCTGAAAAAAGCTCCCCGGGGGGGACATCAAGTGAAGAAGTACCCCAGACTCTGCAGGGCTTGTCCGAGTCTAAATTTGCAATAATACTCCTTGGGCTGGTTTCCCAAAGACCCAAAACAGACATGGCCTTACTCACCTGCGGCAAATTCTTGGATGTTGTCTGGTCTTTTCAGAAACATTTCTCTGGAAAACATGAAGGGATAAGGGCAGGAGTAAAGCAGGCTTGAAGGCAGGCTCCGCTCAGCCTCGGCTGCAGGTCCCACCTTTCAGGGAGCAGAGTGACCCAAGACACCCCCGTCTGGGAGTCAATAAGCCAGAGGACTCCTAACAAAGACCCTTCCATTCATGATTTTCCTTCGGGTCAGGCTCTGAGGCAAGGAGCAAAACATTCTAAATGGCACTAAGCTCACTTCACAAGACAGCTGTGCCCTAGCCAGGCAAAGCTTGTCATTCATTCCACAAACATTTTCACAGAACCAGAGCCCAAGCCAGGGAAAGGTGGTGAAGACGAAAGACATGCTGCCTAGTCCTTGAGGGGCTCACGTGTGGTGGGACATACCTGCAACCCCACAGGCTGGTGACTACGTTTAACCGGGAGTACCCACAGGGGTGGGGGGACGATGCAATCCACAGAGCGGAGAGGCCGGACTGCGGGTCTCACGGTGGGTCTCGCGGCGGACACTGACAAGGCCTGCAGTGCCGGGGCTGCTGGGGCGGGGAACATGCCTTATCTAGCCTAGAGTTTTATGGTTCATAAAGAATGTTCACAAATATTATCCCACTTTACAACAACCCTATGAAACAGCAATGACCGTGCCCCATTTTACATATGAAGAAATCAAACCTTCAAAAGGTTAACCATTTGCCCAAGTTCACCAAGCGAGTAAACAAAAGGCACAGAGCCCAGGTCTTGCGGTTCCAAGGCCAGTGCTCTCTACACCACATCCTACTGGCCGTGGCTGCCCGGCCCACCAGCCTAGAAAAAGGCCTCGCCTGCCCAGAAAGCCCCTGCCTCCCAAGCTTTAAGAATTTGGCTTCCCTTCTCCTTGAATTCCATTTGACAATTATTGAGCACAAATTCTATGTAAGTAACTGTATGAGATATGAGGGGTTGCTTTTATTTTTTAAAAAAGAGAAAATACAGCACCACCTCAAAGAAATTAGTCAAGTAAAAGAGAACGGGTAAGTTCCCAAATGTCCAAAAGGCCAAGCACCCTGCAGGAAGTGCTATAAGAGGGTGTTAATAGTGTGCTGTGTCCAGGCACCTGGTGGCTCAGTTGGTTAAGTGTCTGCCTTCGGCTGAGGTCATGATCTCAGGGTCCTGGGATCGAGCCCCGCGTTGGGCTCCCTGCTCAGCGGGGAGTCTGCTTCTCCCTTTCCCTCTGCCCCTCTCCCCCAACTCATTCTCTCTCTCTCTCTCAAATAAATAAATAAAATGTTTTAAAACAAAACAAAACCTTCAAAAAAAAATAGTGTGCTGGGGACAGCGAGAAAGGTTACTGAGAGCAGGGCCCCAGAAACCCTCACAGAGCAGCTGGTTATTTCCACAGACAGGACAAGGGCATCCCAGACAGGGAAGCAGCAAGAGTAAAGCCCCAGAAATGAAAGGGTCCATGTCCTCCTCAAGAGTAGGAACTGGAGTACCCACCTTTGTAGACCCAGGGTCCAGAAGAGTCAGGTCCTCCCGGGAGTGTCAGGCACCCCCGGGAGTGTCAGTGGGAAGGTCAGTGGAATGATCAGAGGTTCCATCTGGCTGGGATGGTGGGCAGGCGCAGAGAGTAGTCGGGAGCAAAGGGGCCCTATTATGCAGAGCCTGGAAGGCCAGGGAGAGACATTTATATTCAATTCAAAAGACAAAGGGAGGGGCGCCTGGGTGGCTCAGTAGGCTGGGCGTCTGCCTTCGGCTCAGATCCTGATCCCAGGTCCTGGGATCGAGTCCCCCGTCGGGTTCCCTGCTCAGCAGAGAGCCTGCTTCTCCCTCTCCCTCTGCCTGCCTCTCTGCCTACTTGTGCTCTGTCAAATAAATAAAAATAAAATCTTAAAAAAAAAAAGATAAGGGGAATGGGTGCATAAAGCTCAGACAGCAGAACACACCCAACAGTGAGAATGGAGGATCTATGAGAAACAGTTGAGCGACAGAAGTCAGGGACAACGGAGCACGTACTGTAGAACTGCACTTACAGAAAGTACAGAAAGGCTAAACAAATCTGTGCTATGAGCAGTCAGGATACGGGCTACCTTTGGGCGGGAAGTGCTTGGAAGGGTCTCAGCAGGTCTGAAATGCTAGTCAGATTCTATTTCTTGATCTGGCCCCTAGTACGGTGTATACTCTCATCTTGCGAAAGTTCACCCAGTTTAGGATATGCCACTTTTCATTATATTTCAAAAGAATGTTAAAAAGCTGGGGACAATGTTGTGGAGCCACTGCAGATTTTTCCGGCCAAGGAGTGACATAATCAGTTCTAAATTTTGGGAAGATTCATCTGCCTGGCTACTTACAAAAATATCTAATAAAGCCTTTCTACAGTTTCACACTTTGCTATCACATCTCCAGCCTAAAACCTTAGACCTCCGTGGTCTAAAATAAGTTAGATCGCTATTCTTTCTATTCTTCAGGTCCAAAATTCAAGGTGTTAAGAGTTCCATACACTGTATATACAAGTACATCCTGGAGAGCTGTGACTGAATCACTGTAAGTCATCACGATCTGGAAAACCCAAGTGGGGAGCTCGCTTCCCAACAAAAACACTTTGGAGCTTCTCATGGGTTGGAGTCCAGAGCAGAGACCTGCAAAAGACATGAGGGCAGGTATGCCGCTCAGGATTCTGTCCCCTCTTCTCCCTTCCTCTTTTCCCAAGAGGAAAACCATCTAAAGTATCCAGTACAGATGAGGGGCTGAATCTGGTTCATCCCAGTATCTTCCAAAGGAAGTAACAGTAACACCAAAAACAACAAAAGCAAACCCTCAAACTTTAAACACTTCTTCTCCCCCTCCCACCCCCACCTCAGAAAGAGAAAGGCCTAAAAGGGGCCAGGAGCATTTCCTGTAGATAGCTTCAGGGCCAGCAAAGGGAAGAGCCTAGTGGCCTACCTGGCCCGGGAGGTGGGGATGATAAGGAAGTGAAGGGGCTGTTCTCGTGGCAGCCAGGCACAGACACCCAGTTCCTCCTGGAAACTTCCTGGACAGAGAAGCTGGGCCACCCCTGATATGTGACTAAAAACACCACCCTCTTCATTCGCCACCACCTCCCACCACCACCCATTCCTTGTGTTTGTGAACAAGGCAAATGGTGATTTAATTCAGGCTTTTAACATCTACCCCCAACCTCCCTGCTGGAATCATTCCTAACTTGGACTGCAAGCTCCCCAGGATAGGAATGAGGTCAACCTTTATTTCCCTTTAGAAGAAGAAGTGCAAGGGATGCCGTGGCTCAATCGGTTAAGCGTCTGCTTAACATGACCGTCCCATGTCAGGCTCCCTGCTCAGTGGGGAGCCTGCTTCTCCCTCTGCCTCTCCCCCCTTGCTCGTGCTCTCTCTCTGTCTGTCTGACAAATAAATAAATAAAATCTTTAAAAAAAAAAAAAAAAGGAATAAGAAGAAGAAGTGTAAAAAATGATGGCCTGATCCCCAGGACTGACATTGACAGAAGACCCCTAAACTATCTTTTGCCGAAGCCTTACCCCTGGGCCAAATAAAACCAACCTTCACAGGGAAGTTTCTATTTTCCCTTTCTCCATCCCCTATCTGCTCTGTGAGAATCTGCTGCCACCGGAGAAATGACTAGGATATGAAGAACAGTGAGACCCAGGAAAGACGAAAGAGCCTGGAAAAAAAGACACTGCTCCAGGTCTACTTTTGAGAAGACAAAGAAGAGCCCCACCTCTGGCTCACCAGCTCCTGTGAGCTTTCAACCCAGCACAGTGGAAATACCAGAGGTATGGATCCTGCTTCCGCATCTTGGGGAAGGAACCTCACCTCTCCAGCTGTAAAACGGAAGTGATGCTAAGCTATGTTTTGGAGTTGCTGGGAGGGTCACACAAGTACCAAGATGTCACACAGTGTGCAGGCACCGGGGACGCAAATACGGCTGCACCAGCTTGGGGTTCTGGTCCAGGGACAAAGTGCACATTCCAATTCAGGGGGCGCCTGGGTGGCTCAGTCGTTAGGCGTCTGCCTTCGGCTCGGGTCATGATCCCAGGGTTCCTGGGATCGAGCCCCACGTCAGGCTTCTCACTCTGTGGGAGGCCTGCTTCTCCCTCTCCCACTCCCCCTGCTTGTGTTCCCTTTCTCGCTGTCTCTCTCTCTGTCAAATGAATAAATTAAAAAAATCTTTAAAAAAAAAAAATTCCAATTCAGCGTGATAAAGGCTAACCTGGGAAACCAACACAGTGCCTGGAAATGGAAGCCATTATTATTATTTAAACCTTGCCTATTTGTCTGTAGCCAAACAGTATTTGAGATAGCTCTATTGTTTTCATCAGTTGTTGCCCCAAGATTTTTTTTTTTTTTTTTGACAGTTCTTTGCCTTTCATCCCATTAGGAGAATTTTCCATTCAAACAACAAATGCCAACCTGAAGGGCAATGTAGGGGAAAGAAAAACAGTGCTCCAGGATATGGTGGAAAATAGTCTCTCCCCCAAGACTTACAGGGGAATGGCTTCCAACCACTGGAGTCTTTCCACAACAAGTCTCTCAGGGAGAGAAGGGCCAGACATCTGAATTTTTTTTAAGTTCTAGTGATCTTGTTAAGCTCCTCTGATGGAGAAATAGTGCTCTACACCCAATGGCTGCCTGTTGAGTTTCTCAATGCCAAATTACCTCTTCCAAGTGTCAGAAGATATATATTTATCCTTCCAGCTAAAATGACTGAATATTAACATTTTTGAGAATTCAGAGATAACTTAAGAAAACCTCTAGAGATAACTCAAGAACACCCTGGGTGCCACAAATCTGAGAGTTAGACAAAACTCAATCTTAAAATATTGTCTTACATACGTAAAAAAATATGTATATGTATGTAATTTTAATTTAATTTATTTAGTTTAACATATATGTATGTATATGTATCATTTTATTTTTTTCCTACCTCTCTGACCCTAAAGGCAGCAGTCAACTCATCTCTGCCAACCAAGATTTGGTATTATTTCCCACTAGCTGTCAAGGCCGGTTGGGAACACCACCTACCTGAAGAAACCACTTATGAGCAACTCCACTTCTTTGTGGGTCCTCAGGTATTTTTCGTTAGCAATCCGAGTCTGAATCTAGGAGGATAAGAGCAAAAGGTCACGCTCCATGAGGAGGCAGATTTCAGGGTTCAAGCCCTGGGCGTGTGAAAGCCTTGGGGAAACTAGGTGTGCATTTGACCTGGGTCTTTTCCCGGGATGTTTGAAATTTTAAGCCGCCTGTTTTATTAATGACCAACACCTTCTGCGCTGTCAGGCTCAGGGGCCATAGCTAAGGTCGGGTCTCCACCGTCCGGAAGTTCTTGTCTGTATCTAAGTTACTGTCTCCGGCAGTAATTTCGGTCCATTTCACTGGCCAGATCCCTGCGGTCGTTCTTCCTGCACTTCCAGGCGCCTGTCGGGCTCCGTCCAGGGTCCCAGAAGCCCAGAGTTCCGCCTGGCGTCTCCCCCAGCCTTCCGCCAGTTCATCTGAGAATAGGCTCCCGCGCCCCTCCTCCCGGACCTCCTCCGGGTCTGCAGCCCTTGTCCTAGGGGAGCTGCACTTCGATGGAGGCGGGAGTCCGGGGCGCACCCACCTTGAAGTTGCGAAGCTGCTCCTGCTGCGCGGGGCTCAGCGCCCCGGGGTCCGGCCCCAGAAGCCCGCCCTGCAGCGTCGCCATCTTGTCCAGGTCGTCAAGGCGACGGACCACGCGGGCGGAGAGGCCCCGCCCCGCCCCCCAAGTCCGGCCCTCATCAGCACGCGGGGTGGGGCTGGGGGAAGGAATATGGGGGCCACTCTGAAACCTAGTGGGAGGGTCTTCCCCTCTAATTTCCCGGCTTGGTTGTATGTGGAATGAGCCCCTCTTCTTGCCTCCACCCAACCTCAAATAGTTTTTTTTTCCTTGGCTCTAGAGCAAAACTGGAAAAGGGATTTCTAAGTCAGAGTCTCCCAGAATCTGGTTCCTGACCCTCTCCCTTGTTTGGCAGCTGTTGAAACCTAGTAGTAGAGAGAGAATTCAAGCTTCTTCGCCTTTAGCCGGCCCCAAAGCCAAACCCCTCCATCAGTCCTGTAGACACACTTAACAATATGAAAGCATCCCATAGGAAGGAGTGAATGGAGTGCTGCAAAGGAAGGGACATTCTCACACTAAAGATACTGGAAAGGACCTGGGGGACATCCTGCCAGAGGTTTCCCCTCTTGGACTGACTTTTTTTTTTTTTTAAAGATTTTATTTATTTGACAGAGAGAGACACAGCGAGAGAGGGAACACAAGCAGGGGAAGTGGGAGAGGGAGAAGCAGGCTTCCTGCAGAGCAGGGAGCCCTATGTGGGGCTCGATCCCAGGACCCTGGGATCATGACCTGAGCCGAAGGCAGATGCTTAACGACTGAGCCACCCAGGAGCCCCCTGGACTGACTTTCTCGTATAGATGAAGTTGCTCCTCATAAATTCTAAATCATCTCTCCCACTCCCAGTTGAACAGAGGAGGGGAAAGGCAGTTGGTCTTCAAGGTGTATTCTTTTAGTATCTAATTAAGAAAGGAAAGTGAAACATAAAGCCAAAGAGCTGAAAATAGACCTGGAAAGGGCAGGAGCCTGTCTGTCGAACACACCATACACATGGTGCTGAGTTTCTACACCCCCAGAGATCATGCCCAGCAGAGGCCTCCTGGGGAACAGAGAAAAGACCTCAGAAGGGAGGCTGGTCTTTCAGATTGGTGAACAACTGCCCAAGGAGAAATAAGCCCAACATTTAGACCATGGCCTTGGAGGGGTTCTCTCAGTGGTCCACCTCTATCCTTCTCAGCAAAGACTGAGGAGAAGAAGTGAAAATGTTGGCAGTTCCCAAGCCAGGAAAAAAACACGGAAGATAGATGAGGTAGTGAGCTACAGGCCTCTTCCCAGGAATCTCATCCAGGTTAGTAATCATTGCGTTTGTTTGTCTGGTTTTTAGGAGAAAGGGTTAGTAGAGAGGTAGATAAGCTGCCATCTGTCACAAGTGTTTTTTTCAGGCAGGAGCAGAGGTTAATCAGAGGTAATAGTTCCTGTTGGCCAAGACCTGTTTCTTCCCACCCCGCCCCCCCCAGAGAAGCTGGCAGGGGAACCCCTTAAGCTGCACTACCTAATATGGTCACCACGAGCCACCTGTGGCTATTGAGCACTAGAATGTTGCTGTAAGTGTCAGATGTGCTATTAAGTGCAAAATACACATTGGATTTTGAACATGTAGTTTTAAAAAAATAAAGTATGTTATTAATAATCTTTATATTGATGAGATGTTGAATATTTTGGATATATCATATAAACACATTGAATAATATTTGGGATATATCGGTTAAATAAAATCTATTATTAAAAGTAATTTCACTCATTTCTTTAACTTTTTTAATGTGGCTGCTAGAAATTTAAATTATGTAGATGGCGGGCGCCTGGGTGGCTCAGTTGGTTAAGCGACTGCCTTCGGCTCACGTCATGATCCTGGAGTCCCTGGAT